TTCCAGCCGGAACTTGGTTCAGGAAATACTTCATGTTTGAAGCCAGAAGTTGTGCTCCAGTTTGATTCAGAGTCATTCCATCAGACCTGAAGGGACATTTTCTCTCCCAGAAGAGATCAAAGTTATCTACAAAACTCACAGAGTGATCAGCACAGAGCTTTTCCAAAAAACCATTAAGGGCCAACAGTCTGCTGAACCTCTCAGCCCCTCCTCTGGCTGTAGGAATGGGCCCACTGAGGAACACATCCATGTTGAGATTTTTAACTGCGCTCAGCAGCAGAATAAAATCCTTCTTCAGGATTTCTTACTGTCAGTTCATCACTTCATCACTTCCTGTATGAATGATGAGCTTCTTCAGAGTTGGATGCTCTGCTGTTATTTGCAGAATCTTCTCTGCRAGGTCAGACACTTTATCAGCAAAACTCAGAACTTTGACTTTTTTCTTGTTCCAGAAGTCTCTGATCWCATTCACTATTTTATCTGTGATGATCAGCATTTCTTGACTCTTGAAAGCCTCTTTTTGGACTTGCTTTGGCTTTGAGCTGGATCTGAATCTGGTCTCAGATCCCTCACTGAGGTCAGCAAATGAACTTTGCTCAGACTCAGTTTCTTCCAGTGGTGTGGATCTGTTTTGAATAAACACTGCTTCATTTCTCTGGCTCTTATCAGTTGTTTTGATTACAGCCTGTTGCTGCTTTTTTCTCCTTGCTGGTGGAGAAAAAACATTTCTCTGTAACTCTGGCCATTCAATGTCATCTAAGAGCTGAATTCTTCCTGAGAGGTTTTTTGGTCTGGCACAAAGAGAGTTCCATACATCTTTACTCTCAGAAGCAGCTTCCATCTCCTTGTCCAATGGATCTCTCATCTCAGCCTTCTCATCCTTTCAAACGCATGTTGAGTTCTCCAAAGCATTCATCTCTTCCAAAGGATGAATCTTGAGCTCCAACACTGTCACCTTTTSGAGAATCTGGCAGAAATCCTCTTTGGAAGAGTAAGGAGGTATCTTGAAGCTTTTCTGTACTCACTTTCAGCAGATGATGTTTCAAAAGTCTTCTTAGGTTCTTCAACAGCCAAAAATAAAAATTCAATGTTCTTTGCTTATTCAAGATCATCCATCACAATCATCACCAGCGTATCTCTGCTGTTAAAACAATTTATCATAAAAAGATTCTTTTCATCCAGCTGGAGACACGGTCGTGTGCAGTCCTTGCTCTCACTCATATCAGTCCCACCTGCAATGTGGCCTTGGTCCGTCGATCTCCTAGTAGTGCTGTGGCAACGCCAACTGTCGTGTGGCGTTGTCGGCAGGATTATTTAATAGAAAGATGCATATGCAAGGAATGAGCAGAACTAAACAGACGTGATCTAAGCGTCTGTCAAGCTCAATCTGACCCGGAAACAGGAAACAGACAATACAGTATATAAACATCTGGTGTAGTTCATGGCAGCCAATCACAGGATGACAAATGTTAACAGAGAATCAATGACAAACTGACAACTGAAACTTCAGAATAAGAGCAAGATTACAGACATCATGGAATCATGAGAAACGGATTAAATAATGACAGTTATCAGAGATATACAGAACAGGACATGTCAAGGTAACATGCAGTTTAGGGAGTCATAAGATATTCTTCCATCCCACGGTGGTAGATTTATGTCCCACCCGTTCCTGTTAAAAGGGAATTTTTCCTTTCCACCCCCACCAATGTGCTGCTCAGGATGGAAGACTGTGGCACTTTCTTAAATCAATAACTTTTTTACATAGACCTGAGACAACATTCATTGTGGCTTGGAAATAAACTAAATTGAGTTGAATTGTATTGCTGGTACTTTTTTTGGTGCATCCCTAAAAGGGATGGGGGGGGGG